AAAAACCATACGAAGATCATTTTCACTTTCTTTAACATGAAATGTTATATTTTTTAATGCACTAATTAATAGATTAACCGCGCATATTTATGTATATATATACATATATATATCTTTTCCAATAAATATGAGAAACACTCTCAATGTCAATGTCTTAAAATTGATGCAATTACTTTAATTAAGAAATTAATTATAATCCACAGTGTCCAAAATCCGGTATTCCACAGTTTTGAAATATTCTACATATACATAAACTTCTGTAATTAATCGTATGTGACACGATGTTGATCACAGTTGTTCGTACAACATAATTGCACAATAAACCATACAAACTTGTACGACTTAATGTCTCGTGAAAAATCTATAGTCTCCGCCGAGTGTGAAACAAATGGTAAATATTTTACTCTGAGGCTGATATTTTATAATTATATTATAGGTCAGCTGATTACAACGGCAGATGATCATTTGAAAATGGAACGGCGATGATGGTGATTTATTCGATGCAAATAAATCGCTTCGCCAAACGGTGGTTAACCGATTTCATGGATCTGGCATCATTCGTAACTCAATCGTTTCGCTTGATTAATCCCTTTAATTGATTATATGCTAGCCAGCCAAACGTTTTAGCTTCACGGTCGTTGAATTAGTAAAATCGATCTATCGATGTCTATATGAATATAGTTATTCCATGGTGTAGGGAGCATGTACTTATTACACATTGGATGTTCCCCTTTTTCACGATATCCGCCGTTTCGCTTCGACATTAACGTAAATACTTCAATGAATATTAACGATGTAATTACTATACGTTATTCGCTGCTTCGTTTCACATTCATTTCCCTTGCATTCATTATTAATGCAATTATGAGTATGAACGGCAATTTCGATGGCCATTATCGGTCTGTCTTTCTGGGATTGTTTTCTACAGAATTCTCAAATTACTTCGAGTTCACGAATATTTCGACAGAATGACTGGTGGATTTTGAAAACACCGTTTCCCAATGGCGGGTGATAATTTTGCATCTTCAAGATATTATCATTTCAAGTTCTAGATGCTAATTCTCTCTATTAGCGATTGTTCCCTTGTTTCTTTTCTTTTTTTTTTAACGATACAAATGTGTATAATTTCATTTCAAAGCATTTTTGAAATTACATTTAAATAAATTATTTGAAAAATTTTTACGTCGTCCGAATATTATGTTTCAACACAAGCTATTTGAGTATCTAATAAAAGATAAAAATTAAATATATATATATATATATATA